AAAGTGCGTGACTTTTTTCCTAACGAGCAGTGACCTTAGAATATTCTCTACAGAACGGCCAAATATATTTATATAATAAAATTTTTTGTTTTGTTTTTTTTTTTTTTTTTTTCAAATGCAGAGACTGGGAGGTTGAACCCAAAAAAGATTTCAATTATAAATTTAAGTTGAACGTTTGTAAAGCCACTATAGATACGCCCGAGGAAATTAAACAAAAGGATTTGGTTGGTATTTGGGGTAAGAAAACTTCTGGAAATGATAATAGTGTTCATAATTTAGGGTAAGTTTATACGGTGTTTTTTTATTGGGTGAGGTTTCTGTATTACTGCTATTTTCAATTTACCGTAATTTGCTGCATAAACCATCCGGAGTCTCTTACTTTAAACCTATCTTTAGACTTCTCAGGGTCTTCTAAAGGAAGATCTGCTATCAAAGGGTACCTTGTATGTAGATCTTATAAAGGAGGATCTACTATTAAAGAGTGCCTTGTATGTACGTAGAATAAATGCGGATTTTGTTATCTTCTACGAAGCCCGAGCTACAAACCCAGATCTATTATAATGGAATGATTTATGTAGCAAATTATGATACTGTGTTCATATTTTATCGATTTTACGATCATATTACCTACATATGAACATAGTAAATTGAATTTATGTAATTTATTATGTTCCTAAAATTTTATTATATTTATATATAAAAGCAATTTCAATACAACACCGTATTTGAAAGGTATCGTGATATATTTCCAGTATCAAGTAAGAAATCTGTGTCGAGAATTCATCTAGATTGATCGATATCGGATATCGGTCTAATTTTGTTAATTTAAGATTAGTTTGGGTTTAGAGGAGGAATGTTTTTTTTTTATTAGAACTCGAAAAGCAGTTTTATAGGAAAAATTTTTAGAAAAAATTTTTATCGATCATGATTTACAAAATCTGGCACAGATTTTGATTGTTTTCAAACATCTATTCGCTTAAAATTACCTCACCTACTTCACCTTTTGTTTTCCAGATGGTATGCTATTTTTAGAATATAAGGTAGATGAACGTTGTGGGAATGGCTTTTCCCGTACATCTTTGATTCGTTTTATTTGTGATCAAACGGTTGATAATTCCGTGAGTTATTTATTAAAATTCTCTGCTATTACTTGTTCTTTTTATAACAATTGGATTCTTTCCACTATAGAATCCACCAAAGCTTATCGCCATATTTGAAGATTGTGCATTTTGGTTCGAATGGAAGACACCTATTGCATGTCCAAGTAGTCCGGGTGCAAGTACTATAGGTGTTTTCTTCACCATGTGAGTTTCAATATTTATTCTTAATGTGATATTTTATGTACTGTACGTTCAGTCACTTTTAATGTACATGCAATCATTTTGTAGTCTTGCAATCGCACTTGGTGTTTATTTTATAGGTGGTGTTGTATATAATCGTGTGATTTATAATGCTTCAGGGATACGTCAAATTCCTCATTGGGAGTTCTGGAGGGATGCATTGGATTTTATTAAGGTACTAGTTACGGATTATTTCATTTATTTTATATCGCTTAGTTAATTAACGTGAATATATATTGTTTCTCAGGATATGTTTCTGATAATATTGGCTCAATGTTCCATATGTCCTGTTTTCCAAACGAGGCGTCGACCTGGAAATTATAGGAATTTGCCGAGAGATGAGGAACATATTTTAATCGGCGAAGAATTTGAGGAACATTAAAAGATTTTTTTTTTTTTTTTATTAATAGAGAAATAGCAATTACAATGTATTTATAGTAATTGTATAATATAAATGTATAATTAGCGTAGCGTGATTTTTAACATAAATTTATAAATTTTGTATCTAAATTTGTTTTTTTATTCCAAAGTATCGAAGTCATCTGGTATCTCGAACTGTTTATTAAAGTCGGCTCGTTCAATGTTGTACTTATTGACGCAGTAAGATTGGAGTATGAAGACGTTATCTGTTAAAAGATTAAATTTACTTTCATATAACAGTATTAAAACTATGAAAGTGTATGAATATTTCTTGCCTGTCCAACGATTAGCCCCTTCCAAGTATAATTTAGCATATTTTTCTTTAAATAAAAAATAAGAAAACGTTAATACATTCGTCCCTCCATATAGTCACCTCCCATATAATCACGTTATATGTAATCACATTTACGTTTAGGCCAAATTTAATTTATAAAATAACTCTTTATAAACACATTTTAAAAAAAATTTACTGTGCATAATTGTGATTGTATGGGAGAACGATTGTAATAAGAAAAGAAACTAGTAAACATGATTTCGTGTAATAACCTTTTTCATTTAAAGTCACGGGATCACATTCACGATAACGTTTCAATTCTTCCTCATTCTTCTTGTCCAAAGCTTCTGCCTCTGCTAATGTTTTCAACAAGGAAGCTCGCTTAGCCTGTTAGTTTAGAAAAGCATTAATATATTGGATCAAACGATTATAAATTAAAATTAAAATTACGTACTGAATCTTCACGACCACCGGAAGCCTTTTCGATATTCGCTTGTAAATCAGTATTTTTTTCTTTTAATTTGGTGATTTCTTCTTGAAGCTCTTCGATTTTAACTGTTCGCTAACAGAATTAAAATTTATTAATGTAACTAACGGTATATAATACTACTAATCAAAAATCGCTTACCGATTGAAGAGCACTGCTAGGAAACGACCAAAAATAATTGGATGTACCAATTTTATCTTGAGCGACAAGATTATCGTTCACTAGTTCTTGAAGAACATCTTTAACCGATTGTGAAACTTTTATTAAAAAAAAAAAAAGAAATTTTTTTATAAATATAAACGGATGAGGGGTTGAATTGAACAAAATTTAAATAAGTTTTACCTATTCCTTTTTGTTTTGGCGCGATTCTCTCAAGTTCTTTAAGTTGGTAGAAGGTTTTCTGTGATATTAATTTGTATCAAAAATTATATTCTCAAGGGATTATATACGATAGGTTAATACCGTTTCATGAAATAATTCTTCAAGTCTCCTGCGCTTTTCGGCGGCTGAGAGCTTTTTCGACGACTATTTGAGAATTACGTGTAGTTTACGGGACTGCAAGTTAACAACAATTTAAATTATCTTAATCGAGATAAAATACCATCTATGTTCCGTTTCTGTATGAAAGAAGTGAAGTGTTTTCTGAAGAATCGAGAAAATGATACTATTTATGATTTAACGCGTCCGTGTAACGTAGCTCAAGGGCAGCCAAAAAAGGGCAGACAAGACTATTTAAACAAGTTTCATCCGTAAAAATTCAGTAGATCTATAGATGTTAAAAGAACGCATCGCAACTTTGCCTTATCAAAGAAAGTCACTCGAAGCGCTCTTTGGGAGAAAGAGAATGGGTTGGGTAAATGTACCTGATTGGCTGAATGAAGCTATTAATAAAACAATTCAAGGTTATTTATTTATCTATATATTTATTAATGGTTGAAACTATGTGTACTTTAAAATCATTAGTAGCAAAATTTCTTCTAAATATCTTTAATATATTTAAGGAACTTTTTATTACTGATGATTTTAAACCAGTGTACATAATATATATATATACATTTTTTTTTTTTTTTTTTTTTTTTTTTTTTTTTTGAAAAGCGTAATAATATACGAATAAATTTACGCCCAATTATATAGGTCAGGATAAGGAAATAATTAGATTTGATGCTGGCCGGATATACAAGTCATTTCGATCAACTACCGGATGCAAGGTGAATACTGCAACAGGTGTGAACATGAAGTAAACCAAGTAAATATCGTCACTTTCAGTTTATTGACTTTGTCTTTTTTTAAATAAAGACCCAATTTTTGGTCCTTGCAAAAGTGCGCAACAAACTTTTAAACGCACTTTACAGGAGGAACCTGATAATAAGCCACACATTCTTGAATACGGTAGCCGTGAGTCTCTTGCTTATGTTGCGGGCTATTTACCAATTACCTATGGCCCAATATACAATGTTCTATATGAATTGAGCACACGACTACCTGATTTTTCTCCAAAAAATGTAATGGATTTTGGCACTGGTCCCGGTACGGCAATATGGTATGCACTTAATTGTGCCCATATATATATATATATATAATGTTCAAAAATATTTAACATTAGTTGCATATTTAATTTGGTTAGGGCAGCGCATGAAGTATGGGGCAGCAATATAGCAAGCTTTCTGGGAATTGATATATCCGAAGCAATGTTGAGAATGGCAGAAAATATATTATCTTGTGATTATTCTATAGGATTTATACTATTTAGACTCACTAAATTTATAAAAAGCTAATCTTTTTTTTCATTAGATCACAACAAAATACAAAATATTGATTTTAAAAAATATATTACATATGATCCAAAAGTAAATATGATTAATGCATGTGACTCTCAATATAAGAGACTCCCAACAACTTATATGGAGTCACTTATATATGGTCTGCCGTCAATAGAAATAAGGCAAATTAACATTTTAAGCATTAACTTTCACAGCTCATATCTCGATGAAGTTTAAAGCTATCTTAATAAATATATATTCAAAATAAAGCTTAAGATCTAAGCTTTCATTTGAATAGAAATTTATTAAGATAGCTTTAAAATTCATTGAG